AAAAGAGTTAAAAAAACAGTCCACTCAAAAGCTGTATTTTGGACATTAATTTAAAGTGTATAGTGAATTTCCTCTTCTCACAACATAACACATCTTGTCATCTGCACTAATTAAGAGTAACGTGAAAAAACTGTAGTCTAGTGTAAGTTTTATCATGAATATTTATAATTATTAGATATATATATATATATATATATATGTATACTTAATTTTTCTATTATATTTATTAGATATATATATATACTCATGTACTTAATCACTTCAAGAAATTTTCTCACAGATATGCAAGCAAACATATGTACACACACATACACAAACGTAAATATATACACTTTTTATTAATAAATAAATAAATAAGAAATACACATTGAAAACCTTTTCTGACATGTAATAGAACCTGAATTTCGGACAAAAGTTTCATGGGACAGTGTTTAACTACGAGAATGGTCTGGCGAAACTCATTTTACGCCCGACTCACATTGGTCATCGTCCAGAATTAATGTTGGAACTGTTCCATAAACCAGCACTTGGAAATTTTGTCCGAAATTCAGGTTATATTTTATATTAGAAAAATGTTTTTAATATTAAGAATAAGTTATTAAACCAAGTAGCAAACTATTGAGAGTTAGCATCACAAATGTAGCAAAATGAATTTTATGGAAGCCACAATAGCCAGTATTCACTTCAAGGTCCATATAGCCAAGAAAGGTTTTTTGTAGATTCATATTTTACGAGACTAGAGACGAATCCAAAGAATTTTTAAAATGATGATGGTACTGCTGAGCCTCAGTTATCTTTAGATAAAAATCAGGTTAGTATTAGTGTTAATACTGCTGAAAAACACGACAAACTTAAAAATAATGAAGTTGTTGGAAAAATATCGGTGAAAGATTATCCTCCAAAAAAGAGCTGTTGATATTGAGAAGGAAGAATACCTTGGCAAGTTAGACATGTTTGGCTCTCAAAAAATAAAATAAAACAAGTATATCATGCTGAGAAGATGTCAGCACACCTTTCTCCAGCAATTTATCATCTTCCGGAAAATTAATTGAATATTCAACCAGAGTCCACAGAATCTATAATGCTCGATGCATTTTCTTGCAATCATGTTGATCTTAAAGAAAAAGAGCAAAATCTTCTCTAAATGACACGTACTTTGAAACAATTATAGCAGGACGTAGTGTAGATGCTATCTTTGGAATTTTGTTGCTTGAATTTGTTTCTACAGGTTTCAGAAATGAATTTTCAAAAACACCTTGAATGAAATTTTAAAAAATTAAAAGTCGTGGCTTTTTTTATTCATTTATTTATCATCGCTTGAGTTGTTCCGATAGTATTTATTATTAATTGTTGTATAGTGATTCAGACGAGGTACAGTATATTGTTTACTCTGTTTATGATGTCAGAAAAACACGTAGGTTCAAGAAGTCTTGACAGAAATGAATAAAAACCCTATAACCCGAACGCTTTCGAAAGGTGGACCCTTCTTCTTCAGAATGGATCCCAGTTTGCCCCTGAAGAAGAAGGGTCCACCTTTCGAAAGCGTTCGGGTTATAGGGTTTTTATTCATTTCTTCTTTACTACGTTGTTATGGTAGTTTTTAAACTGTCCCTCTGTTACTAATCGTATCAATCATATAAAATCTGACGAATGCTCTAACAAAGAAGCCGAAACACTTTAACATTAAAAGAATACGAGTCTCTTTTAATCAGTAGTTTTATACCACGTTATAAGTCTAAATGTATATTTAACTTCTGCATGGTTGTAGCCCCCAGTAGCACAGTGGTATGCCTGTGGACTTACAACGCTTAAATCCGGATTTCGATACCCGCGGTGGGCAGAGCGCAGATAGCCCATTGTGTAGCTTTGTGCTTAATTACAAACAAACAAGCATGGTTGTATCGTGCAAATCTATGTGCATAACTATTATGGTTCAAATTCCGTTTTTGTACTATTCAGTTGTTATAGCTTTAATTTCATTATATTTATTGTAGTCACGTATTAAAAAAAAATCAATATATTTTCCCTCAAAATATACGTAGCTTACAAGGAAAAATATATTAAGGTTTAGATTAAGAGGGACATGCAAAGAACATGTGATAGGATGCCGCAACACCAAATGGCCTAATATTTTTTCCACAGTGTTTTAAAAGAGTTTTTTGGACGGATATAACTGCAAGTCGCAACATAATATACTGATTTGTTAAATGATACGTCATCCAGTAAATAAACATAAATACACATAAAGAAATCTATAAATATATTTGCGATCTTACTATAAAGTTTCTGACGTGAAAAACACTGGTATTCAATCATGTATATATCTTTTCTTGATATTTCCAGTAATTGTGGTCTTGTTGTTATTCATTTTGTTGAATACAACTAGATCTGTGATTGCGTATTCGGTACGTACTGCTAATGATGTACATGATCTTATAGTCTTATTATTCTTTGTTTGTTTGTTTCGATATTCGCGCAAAGCTATACGAAGGCTATCTGCGCTAGCCGTCCCTAATTCAGCAGTGTAAGATCTGTGATTGCGTATTCGGTACGTACTGCTAATGATGTACATGATCTTATAGTCTTGTTATTCTTTGTTTCGATATTCGCGCAAAGCTATACGAGGGCTATCTGCGCTAGCCGTCCCTAATTCAGCAGTGTAAGACTAGAGGGAAGGCAGTTAGTCATCACCACCCACCGCCAACTCTTGGGCTACTCTTTTACCAACTAATAGTGGGATTGACAGTCCCATTATAACGCTCCCACGGCTGAAATGGTGAGCATGTTTGGTGGGACGGGGATTCGAACCCGCGACCCTCAGATTGCGAGTCTAGCGCCCTAACCACCAGTTCTATTATTGCTAACATTTATACTTTTACAGAAGATACATCTGCAGTAAACTGATGATGGTTTTTAATCAGGAAGTTCGTTTTATTAGTAAACACGGTTGAACGTGTAGATGTCCCGTTTGCTTTTTGGGTAATATCGTTATTACCAACCCAAAGAAAGTAAAGGTGATAAGAATATTTAAGGCCTTAAAATATCTTAAAACACATAATAATAATAATATTCAAATCTCAGTGGTTCATTCTCTCAAAAGTGGTCCGTAACCCTTCGTAAAAGAATAAAAGGAATTAAGCCTTGTAGCACTGCGATTTTTGTTCTTGTCTGTAACATATTCTACACAAAAATTATCTAGTAAACGAAATGCTTTGTAAATAAATTACTGATACTTTTGTTATTATGTGGAAACCGAGCTTACACGTGATAACCATGCATGAAAAAGACCTCATTAAGATTATACACAAACTGTTTTATTTTCATAACTGTCTTCAAAATATAAATTGTAAACGATTGAAAAGCCTCCCCGTAGCACAGCGGTATTGTCTGCGGACTTACAACGCTAGAATCCGGGTTTAGATACCCGTGGTGGGCAGAGCACAGATAGCCCATTGTGTAGCTTTGTGCTTAACTTCAAAAAGAAAAACGATTGAAAAAAGGGAATAATCATGTTTCACATGGTAATTTGATTCTCCATTCTAGTATATAAAAGTGCTTACTACCTAAATTTTTCATTATCTTACTACAGATATTCTTCAAAAGTAAGTCACATGAACAATACTGCAAAGCTATATACATTGATTCTTTTCCGACATATATCATCCCCCGGTAGGACAGCGGTAAGTTTACGAACTTACAACGCTAAAATCTGGGGTTCGGTTCCTCGCAGAGCAAAGAGCCAAACGTGGTTTTGCTCTAAAACAAATATATTATGAACAAACGATTTCACAACCTCGTTGTGGCAACTACGTTTTAGCCATTAAAAGTATTAAATACCAGAGTATCAAATACTTTTCTCACGGATTTATGGCGGAAGAGAATAGAAGTACCCCTTTATTTATTTATTTTTTTCATTGCTGATAAAACAGTTTGAGAAATTTCAAGCTCGCGCGGGAATTACAGCAGAACTAAATATAATACACGAGATCAGTTACGTCTTTAAACACTTTTATAAATATTGTTGCGTTAGCAGAGGTCACGTGACTAGTATCACGCCACGTCTTTCTCGAACATTCACGTCCTTTCCTTAAATCTCGGGATCCTTCTAGATATAGTGTAGTCTTGTATATATAAGACGGTCTGCTGTACCGTACAGCAGTTA